TGTAGCTGATTTCGGGTTGCCGATAATAGAACAGCAGATTTACATGCAGTTCAAATGGAACGGCTGCCGAAGAAAAACTGGTTGCCGACAATACTCGCTCTCACTAGAGAAGATTGGAGCTTTGTAAAAGCGTTTCAAAACAGTTTTTGACAATTCTTTCGACTGAAATTGTTAGAGCAGCTGGCAGCCAAAGATTGTAAACAAACCAATACTGCATATGTGTGCGTTCCTTAGATAAAAAGGCTATAGAAAGAAGGTCGCTGCTTAGGTTGCCGAGAATACGTAAATTCCCCAACATAGTTTCTATATGACGAAAAAAGAAGTTCCTTGTACGACGTTTCCACTTTGCAGAGGTTAACTTTGTCGCTATCAGTCCTTGTTAAGAAGAACCGTTTGCGTGATTTCCTGAGATTATTCCGGAGATGTCTCAGCTCGGTAGTCCACCATGGTTTGCTGAAAACTGAGGTAATGGGTCGCCTTTTCCGAGGTACAAGTTCGTAAAATTTTTCATAAAAAAAAACTGCAAGTATTTCGTCCACTGTTCTGTTCTGCAGTAGAAGATCCCAGTCGATACCAGCATAGGAGATCGTAGTCGCATGTTTCAATCGAAATTGAAACTCTCGTCTTGGTCGTCCATTGCAGCCAGATCGTCGCTGCTCTCGTCGAGTAGGTAAATGAATGGCTCGTGATGATTGTCAACGGGTAACAGTGGAGTAGAGGGTGCGGCGATGACGTCTAGATGCACGAACACGAGATCGAGAAGTCTACCGTTCATGTTGACGAAACTGTTTATCTGCTGGAAGCCGTTAACAAACATATTTTCGATGAGGAATTGTTCGTGTTCCGAAGAAACGTTTGAGGGAATGATACCATTTATATCACCATCCAAATGCCAGCGCAAATTCGATAGGTTAAAGTCACCCAGTGATAGAATAATGTCCCCTTCTGAAGAACGGATTGACATATGCTGAACTGCTTTTGCATGAGCTGAATATAAGTCGGAGTATGAATTCGGCGGAAGGTAAATGGTGACGATGTAAAGCGAACGATGCCCCAACCTTACGCAAACTGCCACTTGTTCCAGTTGGTCGCAGTTCGGCAAAGTGACAGGTTCACAAACGATGTTGTTTTTGACCGTGACGAGCACTCCTCCGCCACGCGAGTACTGATTGGTCAATTCACTGCGGTCACATCTGAATAAGGTGTAATCCGAAGAGATTTCAGCGCTGCCGATGTCTTCTCGTAGCCAAGTCTCTGTGAAAACTAGCACGTCATAATCACAGCCAGACAGTAGTAAGCGTAGCTGAACAATTTTGGTCCGTAATGCTGTGCCAATATGATCTAGTTGTTGCACTACCAGGAAAAAAGCACTTCAAAGGATTCAGACCAAGGTTCTGAAGATGATTTTGAAGTTGCCTCTTTGGTATAGCACTACCGAGATGTCCAACAAAATAATGCATAATTTCAGGCAAAAGTCATTTTAATCCTCAATTGCAACGATTAACCCTTTAAACTTAGATAAGATTTGGTTTTCGGTTTTAGCTTTAAGATGGCAATTGTTATACTAACTTGCAGGTATAGAAAACCTGTTTCAAATACTGAATTGCCAAGGCAGGGACAATGTAAAAACACTTAGATATATATCACAACAATTAAGGCTGGTAAGTTACTGTAGTAGCTGGAGAACCTAGGTTAAATTAAATGTAATTTATTTTGAATATGAAACAAATAAAGAGTTACAAAAAAGCACCAGTTTGTTAAACAGAATCTACACAAGCAACAGATTTCCCACATTTTTTTACAGTAATTGAATCAAATATTTTCTGGTGGGTGTATTTGCTTTGATGATTATGTTCTTACAAGTTATACATTTAATTTGCCACCAGTGCTCAATCATTGTCTGCACTATTTGAGTCGCTCGTCATTTTGTCTTCATTCATGTTGCCCCTCGTGCCAATCTCATACTGAAACCGTACTCTACAGCATCCCCCGCTGTGTACCCCTGTCTACACAAACATGCCTCACCTCATATTTTTAGAACTCTATAGACAATGCTCTCGAAAGTTCCTGTAGACGAAAACAAAAGTCTCAGACGACAGTTTGTAAGGGCAGCCAAAGAAAACAACCAATCCTATCCACTTGAGCTACTCTGTCTACCTACATTGGGACTCTTGAGCAGTTCCACACCAAATGACGAATCGACCTGACGCGACCTTCTTCGATATGCACGAAACTTTGCATAATTATGAAGAGCTTTTCGAGTGTGTTGATTTATTTCCTTTTAATTCCGATAAAATTGCTTATGTTTTGACAGATACACGTATTTCGTCTACTACTTGCAGACTTCATCAGTGCCAAGTACACATCACCACTTATGTTGAGTACTTGGCACTGATTAAGTCTGCAAGTAGTAGACGAAATACGTGTATCTGTCAAAACATAAGCAATTTTATCGGAAACAAAAGGAAATAAATCAACACATTCAAAAAGCTCACATAAATATTTAAAAATTATTATAATTTCCCTAATATCCTCAATGATATGCCCTTAATATAAGCTTTTTAATTTTTTTTTTAAATAACATAATTATTACTTAAATAATTACTCATAAAATAACATAAAATAAACATTTTTTTTTTATTTTGTATATAACATTTGACCCCCAAAATATTCACTTCATTCTTGATCAAAACTTTTATAAGAATGTATTCCTAAAATTAATGGTTGTTTAATTACACCCATTGAAGAAATTACAGGTATAAATCATATACCTCCAGAAAAAAAGTAAAATTATGAAATACTAATGATTTATAAATAAAAAGGGAAAATGTCTCTAATGTTGGCCTATGGATCTATGATTGGGCCCATCGCTAAAAATCTGCTATTTATCAATTTTATCTAGATGAACGCGTTATTGGGACGTTACTTATGGATATTTTTCGTTGCTATTGAAAATTTAGTCTATTGCTGAATTTATGTATGGGCCCACATTAGGGACACTTAGGCTGACATTACCTGCATTTCCCCTAATTTTACATTTCTAATTGAGTAACCTATTATCAACCGGTGGAAACTAACGATTTAAAATTAGCTCACTACTTGACTAGCGTATTAGTCCCAAGCAAATCGATTAACGTACCCCATTCTAGTTGAAATTCTAGTACTACTGTAAATTACTGTTAAAAAAATGGTTGTCCTTAAGCCGTGAGTATTCGGTCCCCGTTCTACTAGCTTAAGTCATAAGAAATAATGCTATCATACATTGAATTACGGCTCCGTAAAGCTAACCCAATTGAGCCTTTACAAATAGATGAAGTTACAAAAAAAAACTTTCTCTAAAAATTGGTTAAACAAAACTATCAAAAATTTGCCCAAAAGATGTTCTTTTATGACTTTTGTTAATTTTTAAGTATCCGACTTAAGAATTTCACTAAAGATATCATTTTTCATAAGCATTGAAATGAAAAACATTCAACAAACGTTGAAGAATGTAATTTTTTGCTACATAAGTTTTAAACACTGCTTTTGATTTTTTACCAAAAATTACTGGAAATGTATTTTCTTGTATATTTAAACTGAGAAGGAATGTACAACTTTGTATCAAACGTCATTTTGATTGAAAGTGACGTTTTCGCGCTATGATTTGCTGAACAATACTCCATATTGAATTGTTTTGTGAGATTCAAAATGGTCGAATTTTGTCTCAAAAGTGAATGATTGCCAATAACAAACCATTATGCAAACTTTCATGTAAATCGGAGAATGTCGAGTCTGAAGTACGATTTTCGTTCTGCCATTTGGCCTGGAAGTGCTCTCTTCGCTTTCCATTCGTATTCGCATTTCCAACTCTTGAGTGAGCTGCTGCAAGCTGATGGGTATACGACACTTTTCCGACCAAGATGGGTGCCACGAACGGTAGCCCGGTACGGCAAGCAATCGATCTCCGTCCGCTACGTGACCCGAGGGCGTTTTGAGTGCGAAATGAATTCCTACTCCTTGGGGATGTACAAGCAGAAGCAGGGATTTGCTTTCAATGCACACACCCACGCACACAATAGGACAAATCATTCCTTGCTGTCTGCAGGGAATTGTCTTTAGTGAGTGATATGTTTCACTGTGAGTATAATACTCTGTCCATGGAAAATGTTGTTCTTCGACAAAATGTAATCAAAACTTTCTACAGTGCCCTATCCCAACCATTTGACGTTGACAGCCGTGTGTCGAGTCCGTTGAGAGTGAGAACAACCCCCTTCCGCATCCACTGTCACTATTTAGTCGAGGAAGCTGTACTACATATTCATATGGTCCTGTCGCCTTTGGCCATACAAATCACGTATTTGAAATCGATTTCGTTTCGTTCTGCCTGGGATTTATCCATCGCAGACACTGGAGTAGGACACCTCTTCATGGAAAGATGTATTGGCACCTGCCTGGAATGAGAAGGGTGCAATGCATTCAATGTGTTTGATCAAGCATTTGGCTGGCACCACAAATGCGACTTCTGAGCACTGAGTGCTCGTGCAGCTGACAGAGTGCGGCAACATGTGCCCATAATCAGTTGGCTACAGTTCACGTATTGTTTGCGAAATCCAATTGGAATGTTTTTCCAGGGAATTAAAATCAATTTACGGGTGTAAAACAAGATTAAACGAACATTTAATGACCCCCAAAAGGATAACTTTTCGATTCGATTCACCTGTCATGGAAATGCGAGCGGCATCGGTGCATGCGTAAGATTGAAAAACGAACATGACACATTGCCGTAATCGCATACATGTGCCAAACAAGCGCATTGCCGGCCGAACTGCTTTCGTTTCATAATTAATGGCAATCTCTGCGAATTGGGTAATGTGTACATTACTGAGCACCCGCACACCATCCCTTATCAAAGCTTCCGTTAATTTATGATGACAGGGAAAGTTACTTTCGGATTGCCAAATGCCAAGCCATGTCACCAGTGCAATATTAATAATTCATTTCATTTTCATGTTTCGTTGCAGAAAAATAAGGAATTAATGAACGACATAATCTCCAACTGTAAATTAAAAAATGGTGAGTACTCATTAAATGATCGGTAGCTTACAGGGGCTTGATTATCAATTATTGTACAGAGGATAATTTTTAATTATGATTATCGGTATAAAGTAACAATCGACTGACATTGATGAAATTATCCCCCATCATGCTGATTTGTGACGGTATTTTGTTTTTGTCAGTTTTATCTTGAATTTCTGGTGAAAAGGGTTCTTTTTTTAGATTATTAGAGGCAATGGTTTATTTTTTTACTTTGTAGTCGCCAACATTAAGTATCTGACAAATGATCTGTCTAATACGTTTATTTTTTTAATTATAGTCGCTTTAGCACCCTTGGGTCATTCGTTACTAGTGCGGGGACGAGTTTGATGATAACCGATACGACAGAGTCGTCCTCTCTGTTTAATATGGAAGAGCTGTTAAATTAAAATAAGTAGTCCAAAGTTTATAATAATCTATAAACATACGAAAAATTGGTAACAACTCCATATAATTATCTGTTTTGGGAAAAGTATAGAAAGTGAAAGAATTAAATCTTAAAAACGATTATTTGATCTCATTTCACCATGAAATATTTAAATATTTAGTACAATCCCAACGAACAATATAAGCTGCAAAACAGCTTTAAGTTTGGAACGGTCAAAATTGGTCAACTTCAAATTGGTGTATTTCTGTTGAAAATGCATAAAAAACCTGAAATGCTGCATTTGGAAGTTGTGTGTTTATACAATAGTTGCTATGATGAGTTTTCACCGTTTGCTCTCCAGTTTTCAAAATGACGCAGCGAAGAGGAGCAGCGTGTCAAAATTTTGCTCGCGCAGCAAGAGAATCCGACGTTCTCACAAGCCAACTTGGCAAAATTGCTGAATGTGGCCAAATCGACCGTGACAAACGTTTTAAAAGTGTTCGGGGAGCGTATGTCGTCCGCCAGGAAACCTGGAAGCGGCAGCAATCGTAATCCGGACATGGCAGCGACGACAAAGAATGTGGTGGTGAAATATAAGCGAAATCCTAGCCTCTCCATCCAGGACGTCGCTGGCAAGCTCAATGTCTCCCATACTACGTCGACATACATACGGCCAAGAAACTAGCCGGGTTGTCGACGTTCAAGAAGGTGAAGGTGGCGAACCGAAATTACAAACTAAACACGTCGGCCAAGCTGCGGTCCCGAAAGCTGTATACGAATCTGTTCTGGTCGGACTTGGCGAGCTGCCATTATGGGAAAAAGGCAATCGAGTGGTACGATGCGAACAACGTGGTTGTGGTACTCAAAGACCAAAACCCTCCCAACGGCCCAGAACTCCGCCCTATCGAACGGTATTGGGCCTTGGTCAAACGAAATCTAAAAAAAAAAACTAATACATCCATGGAAAACGAGCAGCAGTTTAATTCCAACTGGCGTTCGGCAGTGAATAAGGTCGATGAGACCACTGTGCAAAATTTAATGGATTGAGTTAAGCGGAAGGCACGGCAGTTCAGATTTGGCAAACCAAAAGAATAAACGAACATTTTTTCCTTTACATATATGAATTGAACTACCAGAAGAAAAATAAGAAGAAGTTTGTGATATGAATTTTAACTGAAAGAAACAATTTTTTTGTCGACCAATTTTTGCGCGTTCCAGGTTTACACACTAGGATTATTTCACAGAACTCTGTAAAATTTTACCATAATCTCAACACCGAACGTTTGGTAAACAGTTCGGTGGTTTTTCACAATTTTCCTGTAATTTGACTTTGAAGATTTTCAAATTTGATCATGATTTCAATTTGACGAGAAGTATTGTGAGCATCTGACTGGTTTCTAAAATTACAAAAGAAATTTAAGACAGTTTAATTAACTTCAGGGAAATTTTTGATACTTTCAAGTAGATCTAAAGAACTCCAGGAAAATTTTCCCGAAAATTTATCTGGAGTCCTCCTCATCGTTTTTTTTTTTAATTCTTCCGAAATTCCCATTGAATTATTCTAGAAATTACATAAATTTTCTGTAATTCTCATCAGAAATCACTTTGAACGCTTCTTTGAATACTCTTAAAATTTCACCGGAATATCTTTGGAATACTTCTCCGAATTCCTTTGAAATACTCCTCCAAACATTGGACCTGTAATTCGAATTAAAATTTCTATAAATATTCCTCTGAATTATCTTGAGATTCTTCTCAATAGGTAACCTTTTGAAAAAATTCTTAGAAATTTCATTGAATTCATTTCAAAATTCCCTCTTAAATTCACTCCTTCCTTTGTAATTCTACTTATAATAATATAATAATCAGCGGACGGACCAATCAGGTTAAGGCCTTGTTGTCCTCTGCTGTCCGAAGAAGTCGTCTCCACTCTACTCGATCCATGACCACAGTTCGCCAGCCTCGTAGTCTGCGAAGGGTCTGCAGGTCACCTTCTACTTGGTCGATCCACCTTGCCCGCTGCGCGCCTCTTCTTCTTGTTCCTGTTGGGTCGCTTTCCAGAACCATTTTCACTGGGTCGTCGTGCGGCATTCTTACGACGTGCCCAGCCCACCATAGACGCCCAATTTTTGCAATGTGGACGATGGATGGTTCTCCCAGCAGCTGGCGCAATTCGTGGTTCATTCGCCTCCTCCACGTTCCGTTATCCATCTGCACTCCACCGTAGATGGTACGCAACACCTTCCGTTCGAAAACACCACGTGGTCCTCCACGAGCATAGTCCAGGTCTCGTGGCCTTAGAGGACCACCGGTCTAATCAGCGTTTTGTAGACAGTCAACTTCGTGTGGCGGTGAATTTTATTCGACCGGAGCGTCCTCCGGAGTCCAAAGTAGGCACGATTCCCTGCCATAATGCGTCTTTGAATTTCTCTGCTGGTATCATTTTCGGCGGTCACCAGTGAGCCCAAATACACGAACTCATCGACCACCTCGACATTCGTCACCGTCAATCTGAACTCGGGGTGGGAGGCTAACATTGTCTTCCCTAGAACCTCTTCCTTTCATGTATTTTGTCTTTGATGCGTTGATGGCAAGTCCAACCCGCCTAGCTTCAGCCTTCAGTTTAATGTACGTTTCCGCCATCGTCTCAAAGTTCCGTGTCATGATGTCAATGTCATCAGCGAAGCCAACAAGCTGGATGGACTTCCTGAAGATCGTGCCACTCGTGTCTATCAAAGCTCTTCTAACGCGATGTTGAACAGCAGACACGAAAGTCCATCACCTTGCCGTAACCCCCTTCGAGATTCAAAGGGACTCGAGAGTGTCCCGATACTCAAACAACGCACATCACTCGATCCAATCCGTACTCGTGCATAATCTGCCATAGCTGATCTCGATCGATTGTGTCATATGCGGATTTAAAATCGATGAACAAATGATGTGTGGGCACGTTGTATTCGCGGCATTTCTGCAAAACCTGCCGAATCGCGAAAATTTGGTCCGTGGTAGCGCGGGCACCCATGAATCCCGCCTGGTATTGCCCCACGAACTCTCTTGCAAATGGTGACAGACGGTGGCATAGAATTTGGGAGAGTACCTTGTAGGCGGCGCTCAGCAGTGTGATCGCGCGGTAGTTGCAGCAATCCAGCTTGTCGCCCGTTTTGTAGATTGGGCATACGACACCTTCCATCCACTCCTCCGGTAATATCCCCTCCTCCCAAATCTTGGCAATTACCCAGTGCAGCGCTCTAGTCAGTGCTTCACCACCGTATTTTAATAGCTCACTTGGTAGTTGATCTACACCAGTTGCTTTGTTGCTCTTCAGCCGACCGATCTCCTCCTCAACTTCTTGAAGATCAGGGGCCGGTAGCCTGTCGTCTTCTGCGCGTGCTTCAAGGTCTGTTGCCGTGCCACCTTCGTTTTCTGCTGCTTCACCGTTGAGGTGCTCGTCATAGTACTGCTTCCACCTCTCAATCACCTCACACTCGTTCGTGAGAAGTTTACCGTCCAAGTCCTTGCACATATCGGCTTGCGGCACGTAGCCTTTGCGCGAACTATTTAGCTTCTCGTAGAACTTCCGTGTGTCGTTTACGCGGTACAGATTTTCCATCGCCTCGCGATCTCGGTCTTCCTGCTGACGCTTCTTCCTTCGGAAAACCGAGTTTTGTCTGTTCCGCGCTTGTCTGTATCGCTCCACATTCAAGCTCGTGCGGTGTTGCAGCATTCTCGCCCGTGCTGCATTCTTCTTCTCTACTAACAGTTTGCATTCGCCGTCAAACCAGTCATTTCTTCGGTCCGGGATTGCAGTACCTAGTGCCGCTGCAGCAGTACTACATATGGCGGAACGGATGTCCCTCCAGCCATCTTCAAGAGAAGCTGCGCCAAGCTGCTCTTCCGTGGGTAGTGCAACTTCCAGCTGTTGCGCGTAGTCCTGGGCAACTCCGGCGTCCCGTAGTTGCTCAATGTTGAGACGCGGCGTTCGACTTCGACGGGTGTTATGAACCGTCGAGAGTTTTGAGCGCATGCATACTGCAACTAGGTAGTGGTCCGAATCTATGTTCTCACTGCGGTACGTGCAGACGTTGATAATGTCGGAGAAGAATTTCCCGTCGATTAGAACGTAATCGATTTGGTTTTCTGTGTGTTGGTCAGGTGATCTCAAGGTGGCTTTGTGGATATCCTTGCGGGGGAAAAAGGTACTTCGAACTACCATTCCTCGAGAGGCTGCAAAGTTTACGCATCGTTGGCCATTGTCGTTTGATACGGCATGCAGGCTGTTTGGCCCGATTGCCGGTCTATACATTGCCTCCCGTCCTACCTGAGCGTTCATGTCACCGATGACGATTTGACGTCCCGTTGCGAACAGCCGTCGTACACCTGCTCCAGCTGCGCATAGAACGCTTCTTTCTCGTCGTCGGGTCTCCCTTCGTGTGGGCAGTGCACGTTGATGATGCTGTAGTTGAAGAAACGGCCCTTAAACCTCAACTTGCACATCCTCGCGTTGATCGGCTGCCAACCAATCACGCGTTGGCGTATCTTACCCAGCACTACAAAGCCGTTTCCCAGCTTGTTGGTGGTGCCACAGCTCTGTCCTACCTTTTGTCTCGTCCAG